TCTCTCCCCCACTGAGAGGTGTCAAAAACACAATTCACTAACCACTTTAATGCATTGAGCCCACAAGACGAAAGGCAACACTGAGTACTGGTAGTGTGCCATAGAATATCACAGTCCACACTTCCCCATTGATGAACTTCCACCCAATATCATGCCTTTCACTCTTGTCTGGCTTTCCTAGTATTGGCCATTTCAACACTTTAAGGTAGTATAACAAATATCACTCCTCCCTTACAATTTCTTAGCCTCTCTATTGTGCCTAACCCAGTTACACTTCCTCAAGTGCAACTTCCATTCTCTATAATTACAATACATGCAAACAACCTCATTTCTATAAAAACATTTTGTTAAACAAATATAAAACATATATGTATTATTATTCAAGTAGCACCCCATAAGTCTTTAAAAATATAATTAATTGTATTTAATTATTTAAAATATGTAATGCATGATAGCTAGTAATATTTATTTAAAAATAGCTAAACAAAGTAATAAGAAATATAAATTTCCTTGTTACTTTAACCCTTTTATACACAAGGATTTCTTCTTCTTGTACAAAATGAAACTTGGCTTGTCCCTTAATTTTCAAACAAATTCCACCAACAATCCCTACAACACATAAGTGATCCACATCACTTATCATGACAAATATCATAAAGAAGACTATAACTCATACCACACAACTTAGGTCAATGAGTTATAATTCATCCTAATGGTCCATATATTAAACTAACCATTCACATAATACTATTTAACACTAAAAAAATCATATATTACCAATCATTAGGCCAATTTTCAAACTGTATAATTTTTAATCAACTAAAACCTTCACTTGGCATGACCAACTTTTACAATTAGTCATTATAATGAAAACCAAAGCTTTATTTAATTTTATTGGATTCAAATAGCACATTTATTAACCAAAATAAATAGGTTCAAACCATTGAAGAGTGAAATTCAATCTCTTGGAAATTGATTTTTGCCTTAAAACTAACTTCCTTTTTCATCTAACTACCACTCAAACTATTAAGATATATAGAGAGAAAGAGTTAACACTACATAGAAACTCAAAGCAACCTCCCAAGGACCCAAAGAAACTAAAGATTATAAGAACAAAGCCTTTAATTAAAATTCAAAATTTACTTCTTTTAAAAACTCAAGAAAACTAAAAGGGAAAGAAAAGGATTGAAGTAAGGAGGTTACTTACTGTGTAGCCAAGCTCACAATAGTCGTAAAACCTCCTGTATTTGAGCCCTTACTCCCTCTCTTCCTTTTCTCTTCTCCTCCTCTTCTCTCTTAGTCTTGTGCATTTTCTTGCTTCTTTGCCCTATGTTTTGTACATTTTTTTCCCTTTAAAAACTAAACAAAAATTTAAAAAAATTACAAGAAAAAGCCCAACATTTTTTATTATAGCATAAAGCTTCAACCAACTTTGATAAGTTTTCTCATAATTAAAAATAAAATAAAACTTAAATTTTTCTTGATGAAATTCAATCTCTGGATCTCTATCAAATTATTCTTAATTTTAATTTAATTATAAACATTTTATTTTAAAATAAATCCGAGTCTTAAAATTCTCAGGATGTTACACATTGCATACTAGCTGCTCTAATGGATCCACTAACACAACAACAAGCCTTATCGCACTACATAGGATGGCTACATAGATTGCATGATGTCATTATGGCTTGTGCTCTATCATTAATCAAGCTTTTATGATATCAAACACACTTCACATCACACATGAAAATTCAAACTTAAAGATGAATACAAAATTAAATTAATTAATTCATAAAAGATCAAACAAGGGGTTGGAGATGGAGGAATTGGAATTTCCTTTAAACCTTCAAGCATCAGTATCACTTTCCTCATTGAAGGACGTAAAGACAAGTCTTCCTGGACACACCATAAGTCTACAATCACCATTCTCTCCATCGTCTTCCACTCCACATCTTCATCATCCACTACTAGTTTGCTCAATTCCCCTTTCACAAAGCAATTATACACCCAACTTAAAAGAATTAGTTCCTCTTCTGATAAAACATTGATATCTATATTCCTTCTGCAACATATAATCTCCAACAGCACCACACCATAACTATAGATGTCTATTTTAATTGATGCCAATGCATCTTTATGCCGTCCAGGTGCCATGTAGCCACTTGTTGATTCATCTATTGTTGTGGCTCTTGAATGTTCTGGCATTGATAGCCTTGCAAATCCAAAATCAGATATTTTTGCTGTCCATACTTCGTCCATGAGTATGTTTTGGGGCTTGATGTTGCAATGGACAATACAAACTTCACATTCATCATGAAGATATAAGACTCCTTTTGCTACATCCAATGCAATCTTGACTCTTTGTTTCCAAGATAGACGTATATTACACTTGAACAAAAAATCTGCTAAAGATCCGTTGCTCATATATTCATAGACAAGAAGCTCTCTTGAACCATCAATGCAATAACCAATGTGCTGAACTAGATTTCTGTGATGAGTTTGACCAATTGTAGTGATTTTAGTTTGAAATTCTTTCTCTCCATCAACAACAATGTCTAGCGTCTTCACAGCAATCCTTCTGTTGCTTCCTTGAATCATTCCTTTGTAAACCACTCCAAAAGATCCTCTACCAACTTCTTCTGTGAAATTTCCTGTTGAATTCACCAATTCATCAAAGGAAAAAATTCATAGACTGCAATCCTTGGTAAATCCTAGATTTGCACTTGCAAATAGCTTTCTGCATGAATGGACTTGACACTTGTAGATGAAGAAAATAGACATTGCAAAGACTAGGAAAGCAAATGAAATTGAGCCTAAAGTGAAGATCAGAGTTAAAATAAGATTTTCTTGTGATCAACAAGAACGAAAGGCCTCTTTTGGATTTGGAGTAGTAGTTATGATAATTCCTGAAGGCAACTTGAAGAGGGCTGTGGCTGTTGAATTTGGATTGATTCTGCCAAATCTAAGCGGAAGCCTATACTTCATGCAGATTCCATCTTCATGTAACACTGCCCCACAATCACAATCTTCCTGGCAAGAATTCCCACAAGCTTCCATTTCCAATGAAATAACCAAATAAGGAACAAGGCTTCACTGCATATGTTGCAATGGATTGCTAACATTGTATAGCATCCTTGGATCTTCACTGGTGATACAGTCATTTTTTATGATCTGTTCACAAACCAAGAACATGTTGTTGATGATCCCATTATTGACTGGCCTGAATCCAGGATAACACTTACATACAGCTTTGCCTGTAACGATAGAGCAATAACTATTCAAGCCACAAAATCCATTGACTTGACAATAATCCGAATAGCTTGCCAAAAAATTGGCTAACGAAGCCAGCATTTTTCTTAAATGTGTGAACATACAATCTAAAATTACCATCTACATCCAGTGTTGCACAGTAGATAAAGCGTGTGTTCTATCCAATTTGTCTGCTAGGGGCAATAACCTTAATGGTATTCATATCACTGCCCACGCAGAGAAAGCCTGTAAGATTAAGACTAAGTTGTGAGATAGTTGCGTCCTGCGTATTTGAGGCCCAAAAAGCATCATCGTTCCTTTCACTGTTCAAAGGATAAGCAACAAGATTCCCATCATCAGCCTGCATCCTAAGAACGAAATGTCCACTTGAATGGTTTGATTCAGATAAAACAGAGATCAATCCATGTCCAGCAGATAAATTCTGACTTCCTAATATGGTGTTAGTGGGGAAATCAAAGCTTTGCCAGATAACACTATGATTTCTTCCCTAGAGCACAAATTTCCAGAATCAAGCATAGATGCTGAGCTTGCAGGCTCTAACATGTAAGCAATAGAAGGTTTTTGTCCTGGACCTGTTTACAGAAGAAGCTCACCGTTCATTGCTAGAACTAGCCTTGAATTTGAGGAGACAGGAGGATCATCACGATTTGCAGTCCACACGATTGTGTTATTGTGAAGTGGGATGAATAGTGGGGGAAAGTGAAGTACCGAGAGTTATTTTGTTCGCAAATACTGTTTCAGATCTTTCACATAGAAAAGATAGCAATGGAAGAAAGCAGACATTTGATGCCACGGCGGCAGCCACAGCTACTACATTCAGAGAGAAGAAGAATTGCCAATAAATAAAACAAGTTTTGACCGGATGGCCATAAATAACTATTGTTATCTCTAGTTTTAAAGTCTTAACTACAATAAAAGTGTCATAAGAATTATGAAGTCCTCCCGGGAAGGATCAGAGAAGTTGCATTTGTTATAGTTACTTCCTTATTTCAAACAAGAAAATTACCAAAGAAAAACTATACATAAAAATTATAAATTAAAAATATATTTTCTGGTCAATTGTTTCAAAATATTTAAATTTAAAAATGTTCAGAAAAAATCGAAGACGATTTTTGTTTTTAGTTCATGCATTCAATAATAATTTTTTAATTTGAATTTTCTTATATTCAAATTATTTAATAAATATTACAAGTTGGAAAAATTTTACTGAGTTTATTTAAATATAATAAAAAAGGGGACTCTTGAATTTTTAAATTTTCACTGAAGGACTCGTACAGATTTTCATTTGAATTTGTGACAGAAATGACAAAATTGTCTTCAATTAAATGAACAACATAAATGACTTGCTTTTTCTCATACTATTGTTTATTTACTTACGAAATGTTATTCGTTTTTTTACTTTACTTGTTTATGGCCCTGAAATAAAATAAAATTAAAGTAAGACTATAAACAAATGAAGTAGATAACAAACAATATTGTGTAAGTAAATAAATAATATACAGTATGAAAACAAATAAATCATTTATGTTATTCATTTAAATGAAAGCAATTTTGTTTTTTCTATCACAAATTCAAATGAAAATCGATATGGGTCTTTAGTGAAATTTTAAAAATTCAAGAGTCCTCTTTTTCATTATGTTTGGTTAAGGGTTCCTTATTGAAATTTTCCCTTATAAGTTTTGTCATTATTTTAATATATATTTATATTAAGTTATTTGATTATAGCATTTGAGAAACTCATCCCCTGATTGGTTGGAGGAGAGGAGAGGGAACATGTTAATGAAATTTTCTCTCCAATCCCCTTGTTTGGAGGGGACAAGACAAAGGGAGGCCCCTCCCCTTGATTGGCAAAGAGGAAGAAAGGGAAAATTTTAATAAATTTTTCCTCCTTGAGATTCACACCAAAACCCTCTCCTCTCTTCTCCTCTCCACCCTCCAAACAAACATAAGTCCTTTTAAGCAATTTTGAAAAACTAAAAGTTACTTGGATGAATTGTTTTTACTTCAAAATGTTTATTTGTAGCATTTCTGAAAGTTGACTTATAAAATTTTACAGGTTAAAAAGAAAATATGCCTCTAAACTATAGGTTTATGAGCGTTTAGAATCCTTAATTTATTTTTAGTATAATATTTTACTTTAACTTCTAAAAACGGTATAATATTTCTCCTACTATTAACATTTTTTAACTTTTATCGTTAGTTGACCATAAAAACGCAGAGATTTTATAATTTTTAGTCCTTTTTTGTAATTTCTGATCATTTTCTATAATTTTTGTCATTTTTATAATTTTTTTTATTAACTAACTGTCAAAATTAAATTTTGTTAATAGCAGGAGGAGCAATATTGATCCATTTTTAAAATTAAATAAGAAAAAATATATTAAAAATAAGTTTAGAATTTTAAATATTTTTGGACTTATAGTTTAATAGTTAAATTGTGTTTTAGTAACCCAAATTTTAATATGAGTTACTTTTTAAAAGTTGTTTTTTTGACTTTCAACAACTTTCATTTAATTTTTAGAAAAAACTAATATGTAGGCTATTATAATTTTTTTTTTTCAATTTTGAACTACGTTCTTATAGTTTATGTGATTTTAATCAAACTTTTATAATTTTATTGATTATTTATGACAATCCCTAAAATTTAAAATTCTAATTTTTTAAAAAGGAAAACTACCAAATTTATATTTTATTAAAAGATTATATAATTTTAGAATTAATTACATAATGTTCATTATTCAAAATTTATATAAGTAGATCTTCTAAATAGTTTTTATACATATATATTTAATATAAAGAATTAATAAAAATAAAGGATTGTATTAAATCAATTTTTTTTTTTGGGTTAAAACTATTAAATCAATTTTTCTATATCTTCAAATAGTAACATACTTAATCTATCAAATTATAAGGGCTTGTTAAAACGAATGAAAAAAAAAAACTGTAGGAATCTAACTTAAATTTGAGAAAAATTTAAAAGACCTGTAAATTATTTTTTCCTTTTCTAAATAGTAGAATTTGGTCTGGCGCATATTTTTCAAATCATTTTTAATTTATCAAACTAATTTTTTTAAAAAAAATGTATACTCCCTCTTATCTTTTCTATAAATCATATTCTAAAAATTTTTTTTTTAATCTTTTACATAAGTTACTTTATCTTGATTTTTTAACTTTTTATATATAATTTTAAAAGTACCCTCCAGCAAATTTTTTAAAAAAGTGCAACACTTCAATTTTTTAAAAAATTCTTTTCACACATCAAATCATTTTTTTAAATGAAGGGACAAAATTGAAAATGATTTATTTTAATATAATTTTATCATGTTTAACTAACTCATATTAATTTTGATGAACTAGTTAGAAGTAATTCATAAAAAAAATATTATGAGAAGTACTCCCTCATTCAAAAATATAAAGTATTTTTTGAGAAGTTAGATATTTAAAAATATAAGACATTTTTAGTCTTTCGAGGTATATTTATTGTTTTTTTTAAGTATCTCTATTGATAATGATTTTATATTTATTATAAGGTATTTAATAAGGATAAATATAAAAAAATAGGGTTAATTAAAAATAAAAAATTACTTTATTAAAAGGTGAGATTCAATTAAAAATATTTTATATTTTTAAATAAAAAAATAATTTTTAATAAAGTAACTTTTGAGAAGCTAGAGACTAAAAACCTACTTCACATTATTAACTATGCGCTTACAACTGGCAAGCATTTAAGAGAGTTGAAGGCAACAAATTGACTTGGTCACACGTATTAGACTCAACCCAATGGAAACTACAACAGAAAATTACAACGCCGTCTATTTTGGTTTGTTTTGAGAGTAGCGGCAACTTGAAATCGACTTCCAAGTCCACGAATGACCTTGACGTGCGTCAATTTTATTCGTCAATCATTGCCTAATTAACACAGATGACCTTGACTTTTCGTCAATTTTGTGCTAGTTTGAAAGCTTCATGACTTATTTTAATATCAAAACCACAATTTCATGAAAATAAATTCAAACATACTTATTACATCATAAAATTAATTATAAACTTAAAATTATAATTTTTTAAAAAATATCCAAACACTTATTAGATATGTCAATGTCAGTTATATGAATATAAAATTGTAGTTTTCTTCAAAATACTCAAACAACTTCATGCTTGCTAAAATTGATTATAAACCTATTTGGGTTAAAATATAATTTTTGGCTCGAGCTTCTAGAAGATAGGAAACTAATAGGAGCTAGAGACAACTAAAGCAACACTTGGAAAATAGGAGGAAATGGAGGAAGTTTAGATAAAAAAAGAAGCTAGTGACCCTAAAAGAGTGGAATACAAAAGTCTTATACAAGTTGCTGAATACAACTACATCACTGCTAATATTCAAAATCTAAATCTATAAAAATTGCCCGAGAGGGGAGTGAATTTGGCTAATTAAAAAATTAAAACAAATAATGCAAGATTTACAAGTCAAGAGTGATATCACCTACTAGGCTAAGCGAAAGGAAGGGAAGCTTTGCACCGAATCTTCATCTTGGTTCAACTCTTAACCACTTGAGTCTACATCCAGTCCTTAAGATACTCTTGAAATTTTTTACTATCTCTTACCAAGATTAATCCAGAATTTTGGTTGCCACATTACAATTCAAACTCTTTCTCAAGTTTGTTACTCTCCCCCTTACTAAGATGTTTTAATTCCCTTAAGCTCCCTAAGCTTAATTAACTTTTTCTCTAATGAGAAATATAGAAGGAAATATAAAAAATTCAATACTAAATCACTGCTATGAAAACTCTCCCTTATAGAGGGGATATTCAATCAATGAAGTACACTGTAAAGCAAATGTAATAGTAGAAAGTAGTTAGAGAATGAATGCAAATAGTGGCTCAATATATCTTCACTATCTTCTTCTTCATAAATAAGTTCAATTTATAGTTGGTTCTAAAGATTTATCTATTAGACTCATAAATCTGCCATTCATTACTTCAACTTGGATTCTCATAACTCTTTCATCTTTTAAGGCAATGAAACAATGCCTTTTTGACGGGTTTGCATGTTGTTAGCGCCTTGAGAAAAGTAATGGCCATATGCATTAAATGCTCTGAAAAAGAGTAAAAAGAAAGATACTGGTAGCGCAAAGGCATACAAGTAGGAAGTAATAATCAAGGAATGTTGTAAGAGATTAATTTTTCTCATGGTTGTTTTAGAAACTATATTAGGATGATAGGAAAAAGTACACAACACATTAAAGTTGAAAGGATTAGAGATTGTAGAAGATTTAGGATGCTCTATTTTCAAAATGAAAAAATAGAGGAAAAATACTCAAAGACTTACTAGTAGAAGTCATGACATACCGATATAAGTTTGAAGGTTTTAGATAAGAAAGAGAAGACCTCATACTAGAAGGTGAGAGATATACTGGTAGGATTAATTGTAAAGTACATTGATTGAGGAAAATATCTACCGATAGCACTAAAGACATTTGAGTAGGTCTCCTACTGGTAGA